AACACTGACTTTACCTGAAGCAGGAAAGGTCTGCAGTGCTCGGATGTTGCGATGGATTATTTTCTGACCTTCTGGATGAGTCTTCGATGTGCTCACCAGCCTCATGACTTGGTTTTCGTCTGTTCTTGAATTTCTGTGAATTTTTGGGGAATTGTGTGTTGTGTTTTGAGCTCTCTTAGCCTACTTCATGTTGTTGGGCGGGTTCTTTTGAAGTGATTTCTCGAGTCTGTGGGTCGTGCAGTGATCAGGCCAGGGTGTGGTTATTTTTGGTTGATATTAAAATGTGTTTGATGATCTGAAACATTTAAGTTTGACACAAAAAAAAAGCAAAACTGAAAAAATCTGTGAAATATGAATGTTTTTACAATACTGACTGTGTATTAAAACTATACTTTTGGCATAATTGACTTGAAGGTCATTTCAGCTTTATTAACAATCAGGATGACGGAACAAAAAAATTCCATAGATGATTATACATACCTTCAGATTCAGCCTTTTTCATTTCTCCTTCTTGATTCTACAATAATGACAAAAATGATTTAACCCTAATACTCATAATTTCTTATTATATGCCAGGTAACTGAGGCATGCACATTTACACACCTGTGTGTCTCCCGGTGGAGGCTTGGAAACCCCAATGCGCTGAAGCATAAGATGGAGTTTCTGCTCAAAGCTGTGCTGGCCTTCAAACTGTTTCTGAAATCAGCAGAACATGAGTGACAGTCAGACGGTTTTACTGCAAAAGTAGAAGAGTTGAACTGCAGTGATGTTCACCTTTGCGGTGTTTCTGGCATTGGTAGCTCCTGCTGCCGCTGATCCAGACAGCAGAATGAGAGACTGGGATTTCCCCTCTCTGAGAGCTCGACGGGGAGGCGCTGCCTCGCCCCTCAGCGGCGCGTCACCGGTAACCTCCGTCTCCTGAACAGCTGCTTCTCCAGTAACAGCACCGGGATGAGCTTTCGCTTTCTCCTTTTCACTCTCCTTGTCGTGCTCCTTCACTCGCTCCTTCTCCTTGTCTTTCTCTGACCTGGCGACCTCCCTAAGAGGTCGGATGAAGTCGGCAATGGAGGCTTTTTTGGGGCGACCCTCCTGGCTCGGCTCTGACTTCAGACCTCGCTTCCTCTTGATGGTGAAGAAATCTCCCAGTTTCCTCCTGAGAGTTTTCGTCGGTGGAGGGCAAGGAGCAACAGCGCTGGCAGGAGCCACTTCTTGCTGTGTGACAGTTTCCTCATCCTGCTTAGTCCTACACAAAAAACCTTACGTGTCAACTCTAGCTGGTTTTTTCCCCACACTAGATCATTTAGCTGCTGAGCGATACTCACAGTGTATCAGTGGGAAGTACTTTCTTTGTAAAGAACTCCTCCACGCCTTCATCCACTCGCCCCATGTGCTCAAGAACTTCATTTTCACTCTCAATTATCGTCTCCTAATTACCACACATAGAAATAAGCAGATCCCAGCAATCACAAACTGTATCACATATAACTTTACATTACATAACAATCACCTCTGAAAACCCACACACTCTGGCAGAGCTGTTCCTCCTGCCTCGATGCACAGTTTTTCCTTTTTTTGGTTTGATTTTCTCATCCATTTCAGATGGAACCAGGCCTCCTGGGAGCCAGTTGCTCAGTAACGTTCAGTGATCGAGCGTCGCCAGGTTTTACATCCAGAACGAGCGGAGCATAATTCATTTAGCCAATAAAGGAAACGTGATATCAAAATTGCAGCTATGCAGAGTTGCATTACGCTGATCATGTCAACATCTGTGCCCACAAGTGGAGATGAAAGTCAAGAGGTTGGCTGCAGAACACGAATTTAGCAGAAGTCACTGTTACGCGATCTTCTGCCAGGGGGATTGGGTGAATTCTGTCTCCATGGGAGTGACTGCATGTCTGCAAGCCGCTGAAGCTCTGTGACAACATGACCAGCTCAATGGGAAATACATGCACTCACTCAGCATTTAGAAAAATGTACAGATTAAAAATGCCCAAAGCCTTTTTTTGTATGGTTTTCTTTTTTGCAGCAAGAGCCGGGGAAGACGCTGAGACCAAATTCCCACTCGCCCTCATCACCACCTCATATGCACACAGAGAAAAGAGAGTGGGTTTTTCAAAGAGCAAGTGACCGGTACAAAGGGAACTGCCTAATTCAAGCAGGGACCAGGCATCTTCTCCACCCTTCCCTTCCCCCTGCCTCTCCCCTCTATACTCTCTTCCACCTTCTCCCTCCCTTCCATTTTTCTCCCCTCTCTCTCTCTCACACACACCAACCATTTTATCCCAAACCCATCTCATCCTCACACACATTACCTGCGGTCTGCTGGGACGGTAGTTCAGCTTTTGCCGGTGGGGTCTCGGTCTGCTCTGGGTGTAGTGCCTGAGAGCTGGTCCGCCCAATGGCAGCTCCATTGGGGAGACACGGCACGCTGCTGCCGCGGCTCTGTTGCTGAGGCACGGTTGCTAAGAGCACCAGCAGTATGTAATGCCTCCACAGCGGTGGGAGGGACCAGGCTGGCTCGACTGACAGATCTGACAACAGAACCTCGCCTTTCTCTGCCCCCCCCCTCCTCCCCTCTGCGAGAGAAAAAACCAGGAGGAAAAGATGGTGATAAGACAAGGAGAGGCTCTGACACACACAGAAAAGTCGCCACTCTGACACCTGCTTCATCAATGCATCCCCAGCACTGTGCATCTGCACCCTAACCATCACTTTAAGCAGGAAACCTCTGAATCGACTGCATGTTCTGCTATTGCTTATGTAACAAATTAATAATTTATTTTATATGCGCAAAAGATGCCTTGAAGCAGTAATTGACACGCTGACCTGGCATTTCTTGGGTCCTGTACCACTGAAGGAACCTGCGTTAAATTGGTGTGAGGTGTAAAACAGCGAGTTGCACAACTTGTGCAGGAGCCATAAAACACGACACGCCCACAAGCACCAGTTTCTACATATTTCTCTGCCGGCTTGGATCCTGGGCTTCACGGGAATTTTGTTGCTTGCATGGCTGCTGAACATTTGATATTCAAACTAGGAGAGATATTTAGACATTCAGGATATTCATCTGGATCATTTCTATATGTGGATCGCATTTCTTTGCTATTTGCTTCTGCGACCATTTACACAAATGAGGGGAACTTCACCGGGACCGTTTCTTTTCAGCTTGAACTCCCTTTTCAGCCCAGAAATAACTTGTTTTCATTTAAAGAATCCCATGTGAAACGTTTTCCACATGCAGTAATATGCCATCACTTATTTCAGCGCGAAGCTTCAGGTATAATAAACCTGCATCATTGGTTATTGTAACCTGGAGGCAGGTTTGGGTCATTGTTTTCTGAAGCTTAAATACGTTTAATGTTAATTAGAGCCTGTCTGTACTTGTAATCCCCGAAGATTGAATCTAATAAAAAGACCAGATGAGACTGTACTTTCAACTAATGAGCAGGAAGAACTCCCGCTGACTAAATATTCTCAGGGGTAGAAAGAGGAAAGAACATTTTAAAATGTAACCTTGTGTACATTTACTTGAAAAGATGTGTCTCAAGGAAATTTGTTTTCAAGGAAATACAGCACTGCCTGTACGTCTGTTTGACTTTCAGAATTTAATCTCAATAATAACTCAAACAGTAAATAAATCAGCAAAACAAAAAGTATTAAAAACACAACCCCTTAAAAATAAATGAATAAAATGTAAAAAAAAAAAAAGAGAGAAGTCCAAATTATAGAGATACTAAATGAATCTATTATTACAATCTGTATCTACAAGCTTCTACTTCATGACTACAGCAGCGAGAATTAATTAAAAGCAATTTTTTTCACAGCTTTATATTAAAAGGTGACCAGGGACTGATTTATTTGTTAATCAGATTTTTTTCTTGTAGCAACACTTTTTTTTAGTACTCTGCTCACTGGGTCTCCCCAATGGTCTGAAAATATAGTTGTGAGACTATGCCTGAAAACTGTGATGGAGTAAAATTGTTCTTCGGGATGTGCACAGTTAAAAAGACCATTCTGCATAAATTAGCTTCATGTTTTACTTATTTTCCTTCTGATATTTCTGACAGCTTGCAAAAGTAGAACGAATCTTAAAACCTTGAACAAAGGATGTTTCATGAGTATCATTTTATTTTTAGGTCACTTTGGCACAGACTGCAGAGAAGCCTGAGTTTCTCTTTCTGTTCTAAATGTGTCTGACATTACAGAGCACAGACGTTCACCTTTCCCTTGCAAATAGTTTTAGAGAGAACTGCGAGACCCAGGTGGCAACATGCGTATAAACATGAATTAAATTAACGCGATCAGTTTGGTAAATGGTAGTGTACGATTTGCTGACGGACATAATTTGGTCAAACAAAAAGTGATATATTTTTTTAGTTCAGTAAAGTAGACAGAATTCAAATAAAACTCTCCTGTTTAAAGTGCACACAGGTCCCAAAATTGTTTATAAAATGTGAAAAAATAATTATATTTTATATATTCTCATTTGTCAATTTTTATCTGCAGTTTTCTGACCAATCGCTGATTACCAATCTTTTTAAAAGCCTGACCTCCTAATTCCAAGTTTAGCCCAGCCATACCAATTTTTGTATTTTTTTATTTGAAATGTTGTTAAATATAGTCAGAAAGTTGCTGAGTAAGCATTAGTGGGGTAACCTTCGTTGACTGCAACCATGCAGACATGATGTGGTGGGATGGCCTATCAGTCAAACCTTTCTCACAGGAGAGCAAAGGACAGTGGTTGACATTTTAGACCTTTACTGAAATATAAGATCGGTGGATCAAATTGGCTTCACATATAAAAATAGGCTGACCACCAATTTCCCAAAATTAAGGAAACTGGCACAGATAAACTGGCATGTGCACAAATAAACATATATATAATATGCAACAGGTGGCACCATTAGGTGTCGCACTCGCCACAGCCTGAGCCTCCATAAAAGGGAAGCTGGAAGGATGGTGGCCAGGTATCAATTTCCTGTGAGTCAGACCAGCTGCGTGTTGGGTCGATGCTGTTTGCTGGCTGTGGTCGGTTGGGGGAAATCTGTTTTGAACTGATTCTCTTAAGTAAGTGGCGCTAATGTGGTGTTTTTATACAGGACTGCATTGTTCATGCTTTGTTGATGTTTGGGTGGTGGTGTTGCCTGGGCGTGGTTGATCGACCCTGCAGGCAGCTTATATACATTGGTCTCTTTTAATTAGAATGAATTGCATGTTTTATATTGTTTTTAATTTGGTAGGAATGCACCAAATCGGCTACACCAAGGTTTCATCTGAGAGTGCTGATTTATACAATGGAGGTAGGCAGTTTTTTTTATGTTTTAGATTGATTTGATTAAAATGATTTAATAAGCATTCAGTAATTTTTGTGTTTTTGTTTTACAGTTCTTGCACTGCCTCCTGCTGTCTTTTTAGCATTTGTTTATTCTTTTATTTTTGTTAGTCCCCCCATCCCCCTGTTAGGATTTTTCTTTTTGTAGTAATTGCGAAGGTAGACTAACAACTCTTCAATTTGGTTTGTTTTGGTTTCTGTTTGTTTTGGGGCTCTTCCCTGAATTTCTACATCCTGTTTGGTATGATCCCCATGATGGGTTGACAGCTAACGGATAAAGCCAGCAGGGAATCCTCTCATGGATGCAACAATAAATATTGATAATTAATGTCATTCTGGTTGTCGTCTCTTGCCCTTCGGCTTGCCGAAGCTATAACATATACTTACAAGTAATCACTGGAATTTTGCTACCTCATTGGGTTTTATGTTTTATATATAGCCTATTTTTTAAATAAATAACTTGCTCAGAAAACACCCAAACCAAACATCCAGATAAACAACAAAATAGTGTGACTGGAACTGACGTTAAGGAATCCTGTTTTTTTTTTTTTTTTTTATCCTACATAATGTGCCGTATGGCCTTAATTCACTTCCCACATTGTGTTGATCCCATCTTTCTATGCTTGCACTAAAAACACAGTGCAACATATTTTACAGGACTTTTACAACGCCTCAAACCTTCTGGCTCCACTGATAAGTTTTTTTTTTTTTTCTTTTAGCTCACTACATGAAATGCAGAGGATCATAAATAAATGTGTTTTAAACATGCAAAACTATAACTGGGAGAGTTTTAGCTTGATACCCTTCAATGATTTTTAACCTTCGGTCACATTTGCTACACTATGAATGACGTGTTCATTGTAAAAACCATTGTTTTTATATTCCATGGTCCATGCATAAAGTGCTACCTTTTTAAACTCTTGCAGTTTGCACATATTGAGGGACTTGGAGGAGAGGAAAGTTGTGATGTAATACTACTGTTGTTTGTATGACAGAAAAAGTTATTTTCTGATAAATATCAGAAACATTAGTGCAAATGTAAAATCAAACTGACATTAAAAACCTCTTTCCCAAGGAAAACATGGTCAACATGGGCAATCCCTGCATAAACTTGTTTTTGGTACTGTAGTGCTCAGAAAACAATTTACGAAAACGCTTTTGTTTTACCTTTTGTCACTTGCGTAGTTCCATACATTTCAAATTATTCCCATTTCTTACAAACCTCACACTGCCCTCTTGTGGTTAACTTTATTACTACTCTAATCCGAATCACTGTTTTTGACTAAGCTTTGAGTACTTGTCTGGGGTAGGTTTATTTACACCAGAACTGAACTGCACATGTTGGAGCGCTTTTTGTTCCCCACCCCCCCCTCCAGTTCCTGTTGACTGTAATGGTCGTGTCGCCACGCCCACGCCTCATTTCAAATCTGGCGCCCATAACGCACAGCTGCGGCGGGGCCACTCCCCTCTCCTCCCTCTGGCCGCTGTGAGCGCGCATGCGCGCTGCTTCTGATGGGCCGCCATTTTGTGTTAGGCCTACTCCTCCAAAGCGGGAGAAAATTAAGAGCTCGGCGCAGAGCACACGCCACCGTCTACTGCAGGATTGAGAGGCGCAATCACCGGCACTGAGGTTCGAAGTGACTACAACGGGGAAAAGAACCAGCCAGTAGTAAGTGAAAGTATCATTTTGCCCCCAAACAAGGAGAGGTTTTTGTAGGAGCCGTCGACGGCCTCTAGGTGTCACGGTAGGGCTTACCGTCCAGGCGGCTGGCGGGGGGTGTTTGTCTCCCTCTATCGTTATCCAAAATACACTAAATGCCTCTATAAACCCCCACTAGGTGAATCTGTCGACTATGTTTGAGGCTTCCAGACGAGATAATTGTGTATTTACGTGGGGATGGACGTATTTGTCGGTATTTCTGATTTAAGTCTTTTCAGGCCTGTCGTCCATCTTATCGTGCCCTTTGTTTCCTGTTTTCAGACGTTGTCGCGCTTCCCCACTTAAACACGGCGAAGCTTCGCCAAGTCCTCGTCTCGAAACCCAACTTGTAAACGATTTCAGGCCAAATAAAAGCAAAACGGAAGATGGACAACTTGTGTGTGATTTTTAAAACGTATATTCGAGTGGCTGTGGGGATCGTCTGATTGTGATAGGCAAACAGTCAAACCTCATCAGTGTCTCATTATCACCGCAGGAAGACGTGAACCGACTCTGCCGATGGCCGTTTTTTTTTTCAGTTAAACTGTCGTGTTCGCGGTTTCTTTGAAACTGCGCCTAATGAACACATTTTGATCCGACTTGCTGTAATGTCGTTCAGTATAACCCGGTTTAACTAGCCCTCCAACATGACCTCCGTTATTCCTGGTTTTGCGCGCTCCAACTTAAGACTACTTCGATTATTTTATATTTTTGAGACGTGTTAATGCTCAACCAGCTGAAACTACAGCGGGAAAGAGAGCCCCACGTAAAGTAAAATACTTTTTAAATGATAAATCTGTGAATAGTTCATTTGCAGTGATAAGTTTTATTTTGTTTGTTTTTTTTCTGAGCTGGTGAAACAAAACAGCCACTGTGAAGATGCTTTTACTTGTTTTCTGGTTTGGTGGAGTTTATTATGTTTTCAACATTGATTTGTTGAAAGTCCTTTTGAGTATTTCAGCCTGATCAAAGGGCAAAAAGCCTTGTGGTAATTGATCTGGGGTTGTGTAGATGTAGGGCGATTATAGATTTAAAATGTAAATGATTGCAAATGGCCTGATAGTTTACTGTTAAATTGTGTTGCATTGTGTTCAATATTTTTTCTTGTAGAATAAACACTTGGAAAAGTTGATGAAAGTTGGTCTTGCCTAAATGCATGTGCTTCTTGTCCAAAGGTTATATCCTTTTGTTTTTAATTGTTTAGCCTTTAGCTGTTACTAAGAAATTTGCAAACACATTTTTCTACACCTTATTTTTAAGCACTCAAGTGACAAGCTCACAAATCAATTTTAAATATCTGTGCCACTTGAAGTGTTAACTGATTTATGCCTATAACTCTTAGTTTCAGCCGAACTGGATGCTAAATTCAGGTTTGCTCTGCAACTGCTAACGTTCCCACCTTATGCACAAATACTAAACGTGTAAATGTGTCTTTGCATGGCTGGTATCCTATATGCACCAGTTTTTAATTATGTTATTCAAAGCAACATTGCTGCTATTATTAGATATCCTGATGTCTGATTAACTCAAGTACTGCCCTTCATCGTACAGAGTGCAATTAATTTCAGACATCTGAATCAGGCCTGTCTAGATTATGATTAATGAAAACACAAACAAATGCACCTAAGATTAAGATGAAGTCAAAAGTGGGAGGGAGAGAAATTAGGGATGCAATATATATCAATACCAACATCAGTATTGGCCCTCGAAATAAAGCTGTGCCAGCATTATATCGGTGCATCTCCCCGAGAAATTATATATTTATGACATTGGGATCTGAATTGGCAAAGGGGAGACTTGAACAGCACCTCTACTGGATAGTGGTTTTCTTATTCCTAACCATTACAAGTCTTTCTTTCCAGAGCGTTGGTTAGCCCATTGCCATGGAGGGCGAGGTCGTTTCCATGGAATCGGCTCAGGCCGCTGCCCTGGCCGCTGACGGAAAGGTCCTAGCGGAGGGCGGAGAAGCTCTGATACAAGCGGCGCAGGGAGAAGTGGCCGGTGACATGAACATGATGGTTATGGACGCGCTGGATCCCACTCTGCTACAGATGAAAACAGAAGTGTTGGAGGGAGGCGGCACGGTGACGGTTACCGGGGGAGACGAGGGTCAGATCATCACACTTCAGGTGTGTACCGGTGACTAAAGTGGGTTGTAAATTACTGGATGTATTGTGAGTTGTTTAATTGGAGCTCTGAGCTGTTCTCGGCAGGTGGTGAATATGGAGGAGCAGGCCGGTGCCGCGTTGGGTCTCGGTCAGCTTCAGCTGGTGCAGGTCCCGGTCACAACAACAACTGTAGAGGGGCTCCAGGCCACTTTTGTTGAGGCATCAGGAGCTAACAAGGATGCAGAACCGGTTATCTGCCACACTCTTCCTTTGCCTGAGGGCTTCCAGGTGAGAAATGATTCCTTCCTTCGTTTAAATTTGTGGTGTTGAGATTATTATTCAACAGCTTTGATGGCTTTAATGGCTTGTTTAGGTTGTAAAAGTGGGAGCAAATGGTGAAGTGGAGACTGTAGAGCAGGAAGAGCTCCAAGCAGCCCACGATGAGCTCCAAGCAACACAGGAGGAGGAAGAGGAAGATGACGAAGTGGTTGAACCTGAAGCTGCTGCTCCTCAGCAAGAAGACCCAGAATGGTCAAAGGATCCAGATTACCAGCCCATCGCTGCTGTCCGCAAAGGGAAAAAGGGCAAAAAGAGCCGACTTCGCTATGCAGAGGGAGATCGGGACATGGATGTTTCTGTGTACGACTTTGAGGAAGAACAGCAGGAGGGGCTCCTGTCAGAGGTCAATGCTGAGAAGGTTGTCGGCAATATGAAGCCTCCAAAGCCCACCAAGATCAAGAAAAAAGGTCAGTTTTCATTTTAAGCACTTACACTGAGCGTTGGTTTCCTACTTAAATTTTGTTGTCAATATTTTAGTTTTACTTACTTTATTTTTTGTCTGTTCTTAGGTGTGAAGAAAACTTTCCAGTGTGAGCTCTGTAGCTACACCTGTCCAAGACGTTCTAATCTGGACAGACACATGAAGAGCCACACTGACGAGCGGCCGCACAAATGTCACCTGTGTGGCAGAGCCTTCAGAACAGTCACGCTGCTGAGGAACCACCTGAACACACACACAGGTAAAACAGGGCAAAGATATTAAAATAATTATACTTTAATGTAATTAAAGTACAATTACCACATCTAGTATTCAGAATTACTGAAGCGGTAATTCAAGTGCTTGTGTTTAAGCTGGATTAAACAGCAAATGACAAATTGACTGCTGACTACATGCATAAATATAATGTATAAATATATATATTTGAAACTAATGCAGAGAAGTTTGTCATTTTTTTACATTTTAGGCACCCGGCCACACAAATGCACAGATTGTGACATGGCGTTTGTGACCAGTGGAGAGTTGGTGCGCCATCGTCGCTACAAACACACACATGAGAAACCCTTCAAGTGTTCAATGTGCGACTACTCCAGTGTGGAGGTACTTCGGTTTATTCAAGGGCGTCGCATTTTGTTTTTAAATGTATTAACTTGTACTGTGAAGCAATTACTTTAATTTTGTTTTCTTAGGTGAGCAAGTTGAAACGGCACATCCGCTCTCATACTGGGGAGCGGCCGTTCCAGTGCAGCCTTTGCAGCTACGCCAGCAGAGACACCTACAAGCTGAAAAGACACATGAGGACACATTCAGGTAAAACACACCTGGCCTGTTGTTTTCAAGCAGTTTGCATGTTTTTGCACAGTGTATCATAATAATTTTTTTTTTCCTTTGTGTTTCAGGGGAGAAGCCCTACGAGTGTTACATCTGCCATGCCCGTTTCACACAGAGCGGCACCATGAAGATGCACATTCTGCAGAAACACACAGAAAATGTGGCCAAGTTCCACTGCCCCCACTGCGATACGGTGATCGCTCGCAAGAGTGATCTAGGTAAGTCCTGTCAGGAGGAAGGAACAAAGTCAGACACTGATTCTCTCCAGAATGAGCGACTTTAGGTTGTGTGGAGTTTCCTCTCTAATAATAACCTGGTCGCCTTTTGTGTAGGTGTTCACTTGCGGAAGCAGCACTCGTTTATCGAGACGGGGAAGAAATGTCGTTACTGCGATGCTGTGTTTCACGAGCGCTACGCTCTGATTCAACACCAGAAGACTCACAAGAACGAGAAACGTTTCAAGTGCGACCAGTGTGATTACTGCTGTAGACAGGTAGGAAACAAACATCTTCTGCATGAAGTTATGACTCTACATGAAAACTGCCAATTGTAAGATGCTGTGTGTTGTCTTGCAGGAGCGTCACATGATTATGCACAAGCGTACACACACAGGGGAGAAGCCATTTGCCTGTAGCCAGTGTGAGAAGACTTTCCGTCAGAAGCAACTTCTGGATATGCACTTCAAGCGTTACCATGATCCAAACTTTGTTCCCACTGCCTTCGTCTGCAGCAAGTGTAGCAAGACCTTCACTCGCAGGGTAAAACGCGCTGAGGTTTCAGTGTAACCGCTGTAGTTTGTCTGTTGGCTGTCAGAGGCTTACAGTTTGGTCTGTTCAACAGAACACAATGCTGCGTCATGCGGAGAACTGCATGGGTGAAGCTGGTGGAGACGAAAACGGAGACCCATCTCCCAAGAAGGGACGGCGTGGCAGAAAAAGGAAGATGCAAAGCAGAAGGGACGATGATGATGACGACGACGATAACACTGGTACTTTAAACTTTAAGATTAAGCTTATGCATGTGTTTGTGGTCTGCACATTTCACAGCTCAACTACAAACACAACATACACAATCCTCCATGTCATGCTTCTCTTTCTGCTCACTTCTTTTTACTCTGTATCTTAATACTTTCTGAAGCACTGTCTGTTTTTTTTAAAGTAAAACCGCTTGATAGTATCTGCAAAACTCTTACAGATGACTGATTAGTAATCCAGGACCTGGTGGTTGGAGAACTCATTTATTTAAACTTTTATTAAATTATCAAAATATTCTAAATAACTGTCACAAGCCTCCTTTTATTGTATACAAAACATAAGGTTAAGTACACATTTTCTCTTAAATTTGCATTTTTAGAACTGTAGGAACTTTAGTTTGTAAACAGCAGACATTTTATAAGAGAATATATATATATTCCTATAAATCTCAGTGAAATAGTTATTGTAACTCTTCAGCTAACTTATTAAAATGAACCCATCTGTGGTAACTGGGAGGATTGAACAGGCCTGTTTTTATGTAGAAGGAGAACTGGATGAAGTAGAAGACGAGGAAGATGACATGCTAAATGAAATCGAAGTGGAACAAGCCGAACCAGTTGTCCCAATTCCTGCACCAGTCGAACCCCCGGTGAAGAGGAAACGCGGACGCCCCCCGAAGAACAAGCCTGACCGTAAGCTTCTGTCTCAATTTTTAAGATGTTCACACTCTGACATTTTACTCTGTAGCACCAGATTCTGACTCGGGTTTCTTTGCAGCTGCTGCCATCATCCGTGTGGAGGATGAGGTCACAGGAGAGGTGGATGACATCATCGTAAAGAAGGAGGTCGGCGCGGAGCAGGAAGAGGGCGCCATGGAGGAGGTGGTGGTTGGCGGCGTCAAGTCGACCATTCATTTGGAGGAGCTGTCTCAGGTAGAAGGAGCGGAGGTGCAGATGAGCGAGGCCCCGCCCAACGGAGACCTGACCCCCGAGATGATCCTCAGCATGATGGACCGATGATTTATGTGAAGGTGGAATCCGTAAAAAAAAAAAAAAACACCCAGCAGATCTTTGGTTAAATCTTTATTTTGATTCTTGGCATTTAGGATAACAAAACCTTGCACCATGCACAGAAAACATCACTGTTGTAATTTAAAAATGTACTTTTTAATAATGTGTCGATAAAGACTTGGGACAAGTGGGGGAGAAAATGTTAATAAGGATTTATCAAACCAAAAACAAATTTTAGTACATTTTAGTTTGAGGTGGCTGTAGTTTGTTGCAGTTTATCTATGGGTGATTTGGTTTACAAAAATAGTGTGTTAATCCATATTAATTGTCTTCAAAAATATCTGGATGAGCTTTTTAACCTTTTGTAGGACATTTCTTGCCATTTTAGGCTGATATGGAGTGTGTAAATAGAACCTGAATATTTAAAGCCCAAATTTAAAAATGTAATTGTACGAACAAACGACTGACTCCAATTACGGCCACTTCAAATTACAAACCATGGAGTATCTTGAATTTTTTTTTTCTTCCTATGTGGTTAGTACAATTTCTTTTTTTCTTAAATCATATTCTAGTTTTTAAAAGCTTAATAGACTGCTTATCTCATGCTCCTTTCCTGCTACTGTAATACCTGTAGAAAATGTGTATGTACTAAACATTGTCACAGATGAGTGCAAAGATAAAAACAACAAAAAAAACTAAATAGTTTTGCTCTCATGTGTAGTCATTCCACATTAGGTTAATGTTTTTCTTTTTGTACTATTGGCAAAGCTACATAGCAGCTTGAATGACCTTTTAATAACTGGCAGTTGAGAACAGATGTATGACTGTACAACCAATAAAAGTAGTCATGGGACTGATTGTTAAGTTTCTGCAGTTGTAATGATCTATATTTTTAAAGGAACTGGTTTGGCTCTGCTGATATGTTAGTACAGTTGCAGCAAGAATTCACTTGACACATTTTGTTAAATTGGCTGGCTGGGGGAGAAAAAGCAACAAAATGAAAAATGTCAACATATTTTGCTTGCAAATATATTTTATTAAATTGGAAAGCCTGATTTTTGTTTTCTTTATTTATTATACAACAGACGAGTGGAGAAATGTGGCTGACTTTTAGCTGGACTTGCAACCTGGTTTAAAGACATCTGGAAATAAACTAACTCAATACTTTACAGGTCTGGATAAAAGAGAACAAATGAGAAAAAAGTTATTGTATTTCCACATGTTGATCCCTATTCTGTTTAAATCTTGTCCTTTTCTCCATCAGATCCTCTTCATTTTTCTGTCCTTTCATCCTTGTCCTTTCTATTCTTGTCCCTGTTTTTTTCTTTCCTCTGCCCTTCATCTGACTTCAGTTCCTCTATTTGTCTCTTGTTCTCCCTGCTTCCCTTTCCTCCTTATGCCCTTCGTCATTCTTTTCTTTAACTTCTGTTCTTCATTGTTGCCCTACTTGTCCTTGCTCCTCCTTTCCTTGTGCTCTCATCTTGTTTCCTTGTCATTTATTTTCCTCTGACTTGTCATCTTTCCATTCTGTTTTTTTTTAACCCATTTCCACATTTGAAGCCTGCAAGTTGTATAAATATCTCAAATAATGTAATTGCTATTTTATTAAAAAGTGGTAATTCTGGAAAGGTTAGTTTTTACATAAAAAGTGTATTTAAAAAAACTTAAACTTGCTTTTTACTAGTACACCTGGGTGGATTTTCACTTGTCACGTGCAACTTTCTTCCATGTGACGTGTCTCATGGCCAAAGCATGTTGAGGCCAATTACAAATATTTCCACTATCAGATACACACATTTTTTTTTATAGATAGCCTACATTTCTAATTTGATTTAAATGAAAGTTACCTTTCAGTTATTTTTATTAATTTGCAAGAATGGGGAAAAGCAGCATCAGCTTTTATAAACTGATTGTTCTACTGGGATAAGAAATCTGAATATTTTTACTATAAACTAATTATTGCAGCATTCTGCAACTTTTGTGAAAGGAACATTTTGCTTTGTCCCGCTAAATAAAATTCTATGGCTGCAAATGTTACATAATCTTCTGAACAAACAAGCTTGCTTATAATTTTTAGTAAATACTGTAGAAAATGTTCTTATTGTCCAGATGAAAACCTGAGCAAAACTAGTTTTCCAGACAAATGCTTGAAGGCTTCTACTGAAGTAGACGTCAAACTTCAAGTGTAGAAAAATACCACAAATTTCACAATGATTTAAAAATAAAATCTATATTTAGGAAACATACAAATCCACCCAAGTCAGTTTTATATGACTGAAAGTAGCAGCCAAGTGCTGCTGATGAAAAACCTTTGGTAAAGTGATCAGTAACAAGTGTGACCCTCATCATAAAAGCATCTGTTCTGGTAGTTTGCTGATCAGAAGCCTACAAGTTCACATTATGCCAATATGGAAAGACATCAGCAAAGCAATGACTGAGAAGGGAGATGGACTCTTCCACTGAGCAGCTGCCATACCATTTAATATTTAAAACAGTGTACAATTACAAATAGGTAATTAAATCTGTGTAAACTCAGGTCAAATGAAAGGTTTGCTTTTGCTTGTTTATGTAAGTTCTGTTAATTGAGTGAAGCAGGTTTTTTTTTTTAACCTTTCTAACTATGACGGTTTAGAGTTGCGAAAGTGTCGAAGTGGCAGCAAAGGGCACCGCCGCCATTCATCCCCTCCTGCTGTTAGCTGACTGAGAGAAGGATACACGACAATATGTGTTCCCGGAACTGGGAAATTCCGACTTTCCAGTCGAGAAACCCCAACTGGAACGGCATCCTAAGTCAGATTTCCCTCTGAGAACCTGGCAGTAACTCCTACCAGCCCCGGTTACACCGCGTGGGGCGGCGGACTTCGCGTTTCAAAATGGCCGCCGCTCTCATCAACGGTAGGAAGACGTGGCGTTAGCGTGTTTATTTTACGAGACGTACAACTAAGATGACCTCTTAAATATTGCCGTAATTTTTAAGAACTCTAAACTGATACAATTAAAAGTGGCGTTTGTTTATGTAAGACGTATCGCAACGTTTATGAGCTTCACCATGTTGATTTTTTTAAACTTCTTAACGATGTAGCGGCGTTGGTCTGACTTCAAACCAGCTCCCAGGTTTATGCCTGAGTGATAAACATCCACCTGTTCAGGTAAGTATGTGGATTTGTTTTTGGAGCAACAGTAAGTGCGACTCAAATGATCAGAATTTGAAGTAGTTTTAAAAGACTATTGTTAAACTCCTATAGAATATTTTTTCTGAGTTCCATTTCAGCTACAAGACTGAAATTTGGGGAACTTTTTTGGGGGAGGGCCCCAAATGTGCATTCATACACTTTTAATAACTGTTGCTCAATTTCATTTGCACACACTCAGATTGTGGCTATAAACAAGACAATGGTATTTTGATTTCATGTGGTTTCTGTGAGCCACCTAGAGTTGTTCCAAAGCTATAAATAAAACAAATAAAATGGAAATTACTGCATTAATGGAGAGCAAAGGTTGTAGGCGACTTGATAAAACTACTGTTAAATCCAGTTTGCCGACTACAGATAGTATTTTGTGGTCAGTTTTTTCTTTTTGTATTATTTTAACGCATACATTCATTTGTTGGGGAATACGTGTACATTGTATGTACGCAGCAAATTATTTTCAGCTAGATGTGGAAAACACTGCATGGATTTTAGGAAAATTTGGCACAAACACGTGGAAGCAGTTTGCAGCTCAATACGGTGTATTTTCAACCTTCTGCAAAAGATTTAAAACGTGAAAAAAATTCCAGTTACATTAAGTTTATTCCTCCTAATTTCTGTGCCTTGATTCCTCCTAATTTCTGTGCCTTGATTCCCCGGTACTGTAATAATTAGTCGAAACAACATATTTCACTCAGCGAGCCAGCAGTGTTTTATGAGTAAAGTGCCAGATGCTCGCCCCCCATCGTCGCTTCATTCCCAGCCTGCGGGTCCAACTCGGACCAGCAACCCTCGGGGCATCGACAGCTCAGATTTATCCGTCGGAACCGAACCGAACCGAACAGGCCGCTCATTGTGACCGCTGCTCTGGGAAAGCTGTCGTCTCCTGGTCCTTCCTCTTTCTCGGAATAGTCATGGCTATTTGTTTCCGCTGCTTTCTCTGTGGTGTCGCCAGCACTGAAAAGGGGTAGCAACGGAGAAAACAGTGACTGAGGCTGAGGGACATGTTTGTTGTCACAGCAACGAGCCGGGCCTGATTTCCGGTTGAGGGAGCCAGATTTCAAAATAATATCAATAATAATAATAATAATAATAAGAATGGTAAAACTCCGATGTAACTTTAAACAAATAAAACATTTGATTCACAAATCAAATGTTTAATAATAATAATAATAATAATAATAATAGTTATTATTATTATACTGAATATTGAAAATTCAATTTATTTCAGCAGCTTTACCACTAAGTCAAACATTATATAGATTAAATACACACAGATGAATGTTTGAAAATCCTGATAGCGGTTATTATTATTTTCTGCTTGCAGTTAATGTAAGTAATGACATTTAAAATAAGAATATCACATCACACTAATAATATAAAACATGTTTTTATACAAAAAGGTAACCTTAATGGAGTGTATGTTTCATATCTGCTTGAAAATACATGAAATCTTTCTCATCTTTAGGGCAAAGGAATGTAAGAAACCCCAACAACTTTAGCTTAATAAGGTAATTTGGATCAACTGTAACATCCATTCCCAACAAGAAATCCAACTTCTTTGTTTGTTCAGTTGAAATATTTAGAAACAATAAAATTTAAAAAAAAAAAAAAAACTTTTTTTTTTAAATTCATAAGTACTTTTGAATTGATTATTTTTACCCTCTTGACAAAAGTTTGAACACTTCTGCTTTGAACTATTTCATTCACATTTTAAATTTAAAAAATCATCACCTTCCTAAAGTAATGGACATGTTTTTCCAAAAGGTTTGTTTCCTAAATCAAATTTTGTCAATAAATAGGGAAAGATGTTTTTGCCGAAATTCCTTTTGACAAAAAAAAAAAGAAAAAAGAAAAAAATACTTTGGCCATTATTTTAAGAAAGTACCTAAATGCAACTTGCTGAGCTTTTATGCTGAAATCTGCACACCGGAAGTAGCCTGGGGTGTGCGCAGCTAGCTTGACTTTGGACAAAAAAACTGCGAAATCAGGGAGAAGGACAGCGCCCAGAATAACTGTAAACCTCTGCTAAGTGAGAGCAGCATCTCGCTGAGAATGGGACTCCGGCTCTACCCTCCGGGCTGTCGGACACTAACACAGAGGTAGGACGCTGAACATGTATTTTATCACCAAGGTCACTGGAGGAACCCTGAGTGTTTTCTCTGGACATGAGTCCGTCCGTCGGGCGTGAAGAAGTTGTCTCGCTGTGATGTTTTCCAAATAATAACAGTCTCCCCGCAGGCGATGTTCGGCTCTTCTCCTGCTTTGTTTGTCTTTTTCTCGGCTGTTTTGGTGTTTGAAATGCGTTCGGAGTTGATGGGGGTCCTTGTGAGGAACGGGAAGGGACTTTTGTGGCCTGTGATGAGCCCCTCTGGTCGGCTGTGGGGAGGGATATGAACGGAATACAAAGTGTGGATGTGGAGAGAAGGAGCCTCACAACTTTGAGCTCCATCCCACTCTGTTAGTGCGGGGGAAAAAAGATCTCTGCGGTGTGTGTTTATCCGCCTGAGTGGCTTACTGCTGCCGCCGGGTAAAGATAATCCAGTAATCTGGAAAAGAGGTGGCAGCATTTTATTGTAACACCACTTCCCCTTCCTTTCCTCCTCCTCCTCCTGAAGCAGAACCAAAGTATGGGTGAATGCAGCTGTGGAGCAGACACGGTTCCCTTCAACACTCCCAACATCACAAATCATACTCACTGGAAAATAGTAATTGTATTAAAAAACCTAATTAGATTGTGGTTAATTTTACACGCTTTCAATTAAAATTGGGGGCACACAGATTGTCATTCTCTGGCGATTATAGGTCTTTTAAAAAGCCTCACCTACCAATTCCGATTTTGATCGATACTAATGTTCAAAAGAATC